AATATGTTCTATTTGTGCACTCTCCATATTGTTGTGAGAGTGATTATTGATTATTGAAGGCTTAGTTTTCGTTATATTATATTAAACTCTCTAAGGCCTTATTTGTTCTTTTTTTCACATAAGGACATTCTTGTACAATATGTAAATCTTTTATTACTAATATAAATATGTGAGAGGTGTTGGAGGTTAGTATAACCTAACATTACCCTCTCTCTTCCGTCCTCTCTCTGCATCCTCTTCCTTCATCATTTTCTCTCTCATTGAGAACTTGATAAAAGATATGGAGACTCTTGGCCTCACTGAGAGTATGGCTTTTAATAGAGCGGAATAGCAGACTGGGATTCGTGTAGCCGACCCCAATTAATTGGGAAAAGGTTATGATGATGATGTTAATGATTGAGAACTTGATATCTTCATCTATTTTCTTCCTTTTTCTCCTCTTTTCATTATTTACTGCTGTATTTTATCTTGGTATCAGAGCAGGAAGCTTTGTGAGGTTTTTTTTGAAACCTTAAAGATTTGATTTGGCTGTGCAAAGATCTCCTAATGCTGCCTGACCAGAAACTCTAGATCTGAAGTATAAAAAAGGAGGTATAAATCCCTAGATATGTGACAAGGTATGGATTATGAAATTAGAAAAAAAGAAGTAAACTACTTTAATGATTGTTTCCTTGAGTTTTTGATGCGGCATCAGAAACCCTAGATCTGGCTGACATTGTTCTGTGATGTTGAAGTCTATTGTCAGACCACTTGTATGGATCAAATCCTTGTTTATGAGTTTTGAAACTCAGTTTTTCTTCGAGATCTCTTGTGGGGATAATCTCAGGTCCCAGTTCAATTACTTTTTGAGTGGTTGGTTGTGTTGATCAGCGCGTATAGTTCATGTTTTTTCAGATTGTGTTATAGCCGATATGTCTAGTTTGAGTGATTGAGGCCACTCTTCCACCTTCACTAGTACTCTCAGTGGGTATCCATGGAGATAACCATGGACTGTAGATTCTACTACCAAAATCGATAGAAAAAATTATTTAGAGTGGTCACATTTTGCTAAAGCGTTCATCGATGGAAGGGGCAAGTTGGGGTATATCAATGGTAAGATTAGTAAGCCCAAAGAAGCATATCTAGTCAAGAAATGGAAATTGAAATCTTACTGTTATGTCTTGGCTGTTGTACTCCACGCAACCATCGATTTGTAGGGTTTCTTTTGTTTATTCAATCTGCAAAAGAGATTTGACATTCTGTATATAAAACTCACACAAAGTAGGAATGTGGCTTGAGTGTATCAAACCGAGGTAGGAAATTTGCCCATCTTCGACTTGAGGAGAAGTTTCTCATTGAATATTTTCATTAGTTCGTACCATGTGGGAGGAGCTAGACCATTATCAGGTGTTTAAACCAGCCTGGAAGGAAGATGGTGAGAAATGCATAAAGTTCATGGACCAAACCGCATTTTTGAGTTCTTGGCGGGTTTGAACCCACAATTTGAATTATTAGCCAGGGTTCAAATACTTCATAGGGATAGAATGAAGAGGATCAAAAGAATGTCATGCTGCCGAGCCAAGGAGTTGATTAATCTACTTCTACTTCAGCCTCCTTTCCTCTTGAAAAAATTAAAGACGGTAAGTCTCAAAAAATTGGAAAAGGGGGCCTATCAAGGTCATAAATTGTGGTAGAACTGATCATCTCAAAAAAACTTAGCAAGATCTTGTTGGGCGTCCAACTAAAACTGTAATGGTAAGTTTAATGCTTGCGTTACTTCATTCACTGTGAATTCAGCTTAGCAGGATTTTGTTGGGCGTCCAACTAAATACAACTGTAATGGTAAGTTTAATGCTTGCGATACTTCATTCATTGGGAATTCAGCTGCTACTAGTATCGATCAATCATCACAATCTGTTGGGGTTTGTGGCTTTTAAAGGTCTAGAGAGCAGGTAAATAAAATTAATTATAATGGATTCTGCACTTCAGTGGGAGTGTTCGTTTGACTTGACCTAGGGTTGGGTGGTGTATAGCCTAGGTCATGTCTAAAACCCTTACCCCTGGGCATAGGCACTAGCGTTAAGGGTTTATTGTAGGTCATCCCTTATTGAGTTCGGAGAGATGCTTAGGGATGTTGTTTGTAGGCCAGGAGAGCTGTGTGGTCTCCTATGTACGGAGGAAGGGATTGTAAGAGTGAGGGTTAAATCCTCAACAAAACTTTAGCATGCCATGTACATATGACAACCACACTTTCGGATGCAACCCTATATAGAAGGACGCATGTACATTTATATAGAGTGCCTCCTTGCGCTATAGTGATATGTGCATTTTGATTTGCTCTTAAGGGGGAACTTATAATCTACATATTAGAACTATGGTTCTACTGTTTATTGGCCAGCTTTGACAGGCCAATCATGAGCCCTTGCATGTGACTGCGGGTCATGAGTCTTGTTGGGTTGGTTTGAGAGGATCATGGATCTTGGCACGGGTGGAGTGCCCAGACATTCACTTGTTTTAGACTTATTAGGTACCAATCCTCTTTTATTAAGCATTTATGAATGTTTTAAATTTTTTAAGGACTTCAAACATATTGATTTCAACCAAAAATATGTTTTTAGATATTTTTAGAATTTTAAATTTGATTTAAATTGAGTAAAAAAACCCCTAAGTATTTTTGAAAATTTCCTTTATGAGGGCATTTTGGTTAAAGTTTTCGTTTTAGGGGGGGGGGGGGGGGGGGGTGTGTTTATGGGCCCACCCCACACATGTGGGGTCCACATGGGCCATACTTGTCAAATAGAAGTTCTTGATTGGTTAATTTGAAAAGTATTCTTGGTTGAAAGATTATCTTAAATATCTTGGTTGATTTTTATCTTAAAGTATTTTCTTAGTGAAAATTATTTATTGAATATTCTTTTAGATCTAGATATTCTTTGACGAATTTAAATTAAATTATCCAAATTATCACTTTGTGAGAGAAAGGTACTATAAATTATCCTTGATTATTCTAGATTTTTCTAGAATATAAGTTTAATTGGTCATAGATCTAGATAAAGATGGAAGTGGGTAATGTTCAAACTCAGGGGACAAGGTTCTTAAATATCTTCTCTAAATCACTATGGTGACTCAGATTAATTTTCTCTCTCACCTCACATATTACCTTAATATTCTATACAATATTGAATTGTAATCTGACTGAGACTTCGTAGGGTCCTTGAGGCCTATATAAAGGGGGGGTCACCTCGTCATTCTCTACACATCTCTCAGACCTCTCTCTCTCTCTTCACACTTCATCTCTCCGGCCCCCCCGCCCCCACCCCATGGTGCCACACCATGTCCCATGAGTGATGGGGAAGCACACACCTACCAAGAAGAGAGAGGCATGCCTAGCTGTAGCCTAAAGGCTAGGGGCATGCCCTGAGGTTGAAAAAGGGTTGTTTGTGAAATCCTAATTGTGACCTTAGCTCTCTTACCCTGTAAGTTTCAGAAAAGGGTGTCCTAGGGGCATTTCCTAGTTCGGATTGGTGGATTTAGTGGGATCTAGGATCAAGTGCCCCATCGGTTAAGTGATTGGGTGTAGGGTGTACTAAACCCTAAGGTGGTAACCCAAGGCAAAAGTTAGCAAGTTATCCCCTTGTTTAATTTTATTTTCTGCTGTTCTTGTCGTATATTTTCCTAAAATTATTAGTTTGTATTCTGTTCGAATAAAATTTATTTGGTAGTAAGTTATTAAGATCCTAGATTGTAGTAGGCTTATTTTCATTATTTTTGTGGCACCTGTAAATAGAATTTCCAGCAATTAATAAAAAAAAAAGAAGAAAATTTTGAATTTATAACTTGGAATTCTGCATAGCCACTTCTTTAGCAATCCTCACTGTCTACTTCAAAGGAGATGATGCCAGTCCCTAAAGAGGAGATTGAAAGCTTTCGTAGGTTGTTACGCAAAGTTAGAGATCCCATCCACTACCTTTTCTGCTAATGATGTCGCCCTTACTGGTAGTGGAATGATGTCCTTTGTACACAAATGGTTTAGTGGAATCAAATCTGTGTCTGATGACTGGTAGTAAACAAAAGAACAGTGAAAACAAAGACTGGATTATTGAGACTTGTATCATGGAATGTCAGGGGCCTGAGAGTGGCCTCAGAAATGAGCAGTTAAATTTTTGTTTCTTGCACGCTTTATATGAGGTGATATCAAGTATTCTTGAGATCTTTTGCCAGGAATGTAATGTGGAGTTTCTGTGAGTTGGGCTCCAATTATGTCTTTGTAATTGCATATGACAAGTTTGTTCTTTTGTTTCTATGATCATGGTTTTAGTCTTTGACGCTGTTTCTTTTAACTTGCTTGGCCTTTCAATGCATTTTCCACGAAAGTTTGTGGTTTGAAATGTCATGGTTCATTTACAAGAAGTATGTATTTATTAGGATGTAAGTGCTGGAAGATTTCTTTACATAAATCCTTTATTTGTTTTATACCAGAAGTTGGTTATTTTAGGATCCCCCAAAATTATCCTTTGGCCTTTCAATGCATTTTCTGCGAACATTTTTTTGGTTTGAAATGTCATGCTTCGTTTGCAAGAAGTATGTATTTATTACGGTGTAGTGGCTGGAAGATTTCTGTACATAAATCCTTTATTTGTCTTATACAAGAAGTTGGTTAATTTTAAAGTTCTATTCTAGTTTCAACAGGAACTTTTACTTTTCTTGTCCTTTCTTATTTATGCGCTACCCACTGCCAAGAGCTAAAAATATTATTTTTTCCTTTTATTCTCAATGGTAGTTTTTTGCCTATTATCTATCAATCTATTCTTTAGCATGATGTATTTAACTACCGTAATGATATTGTTTAATAGATACATACAGTTTGCTCTGCCATTTTGGTGCTGCAGCGTTACCATTTTCTGGAGGCATTCATCCTTTCTGCATTAGATTATGCACAGTTTAATTGTTGTCTTAATTCAGGTTTTACTTCTCATATTTTATCAATGCTTTTGATGTTGATTTATAGTGCCGTTCATCAGGTTCTATCGAGGTTCTGTGCAGACCACTCTCCCTCCAAACAAGAGGTTAAGATCTGGTCGTCTATGCAGCTCTGTTGATCATCAAATTAAATGGTTTGAGAATGAAGCTTCAAAAATGCGGGACTTCATTCAACGAGATGAGGGCCAGAAAAGGGGTGCTGAAAAAATGTCGCAGGATGTTCAACATGATTTACATAGTATAAAGGTGTGGGATATTGTATTTTCTTACTGTTTTCATATTCGCTTAATTTCTTTTCTTTTTCCTTCTGACCTTTTTCCAACTGTTTGTTGCTTATTTATTGATTTATTAAAGAAACGCCGATTGAATACCGAAAGGAATTTGGTGTCTATACAACACACCATGCGGGATTTAAAGGATTCATATAATGTTGATGCTGCTGCTGATTTGGAACCCAATGTTGATGAGCTCCAGCAGGAAATATTGGTCTGTTTTTTGAATGCGCAGATGGCCTTGTCATTTCTCCTTTCATGGATCATGCAATAATGAATTCTTTTTTGTTTTGTGTGGTCCTCTTTTACATTGTGGTTAGAGAGTACGAGATGAAGTTCAACAAAAAGAGATGTCACTTGAGGAACTCAGGATTAGGGTGAATGAGGCAGAAAGGAAGGCTAATGATTGTAAATTGTCTTTTGACAACATTTGCGGTATGTATATTTTTACCAGTTTTTAGTTGTGCTGAGTCTTCTGTTCATCTCTCCCTTAATTTTATCTTCACGTTCTGATGTTTTTTACTAGGAATGTGCTGTCGGTATTTGAGTTTCGGGATATTGCATTAATACATTACGTGGGATCCATGCAGATATAGCTGTATCCACTTTGGATATTTGTAAGTGTACAATACCGTTAATTTAAAGGGCACTAAGTTTGGCCATGTTTCTTTGAATTCCAAATTGTAGAGTCGGCAAAAGTGGAGATGGAAGCTGTTGCAGAAGCGGAACATACATTAGTTTCAATTGAAGATGCTTTACATTCTGCAGAAAAGGTATTGTTTGTTTGTTGTTTTATAATCATGATTTTTTTTGGGTAATTATCTTGATTTTTGTTCTAATAAATTAATTTGACATGACCACACACATAACTACCATGGCAGGAGAAGGCTCATTATGAAGATGTTATGCAAAGAAAGGTTATTTATGATATCAAAGAGCAAGAAGAATTGTGTAAAGATTTACAACGTCAGCATGAGGTAATTGTGAAACCTATAGATCTAAAGCATCTAGTGTCAGACTATGTCCTCTTATGTAGTTTGTATTGGCTACTGTTAGAAGTTTCTGAATTGTGAAAGAATTCCCTAGAATGCAAGCATGCTCGAATTATCTTTTGTTTTGCCATGACATGAATGGGAGAAATAAGACAAGTGTAGCACATAATAGGTGCTTAGAAGAGTCACGAAGAAAGTAAGCTTGTGAAATTGGCTTGAACGATATCATTGTTGAAAAGCTGAAAGCATTGAGTTCCAATGTTTATTAGGTTTCATAGCTGAAATGACATTAATGTAAAATGAAATGGAATAATGTTCATTCCAAATGGTATAACATGGAGGATAACTGTATGCTTTTGTAATTAAAGGAAGGGTCAATTGGAAGTCTCATATTGGTTTCTCTCTAGTGATGATTGTTATGTGCGTAAGGTGGAGATAGCTTTCTAGAGGAGAAGTATCTATATGACTGATTGGACCTAACTGCTGGGATACAGGCTGGTTTTGGAATAGACACTATGTCCCAAGCAAAGCTTCCCAATAAAAAGGCATGCCTGTCAAGCGTGTCACTCTACTTAAATCACTAGAAAGTGGATATATATTTTAAGTCACTGAAATTTGTAGGCTGTAGAATGGAAAAGCGAAAGTTTGAACGTATTATATTGTATGTCTTCTAGTTAGGCACAAATGTTTTTTATTTACTGCGTAGCAGAGAACTATAAGCTCTCAGTTGGCACTGCTTATTTTAGTAGTGTACTTTGCTTGCCTTTTTTCTTTCTTCCTGTTTTGTTTTTCTTATTTAATTCTGTTTATTTATGAATTTAAAAATAAGAAACAGTGACATGAACAGGGGGGCCTAGAACCCCTAAAGAAGTATGGGGTATTGAGCAAACAAAGAAAGTGATGTTATTTTATCAACAGGAACCAATCCAATGAAAGCCATCTGTGATTCTCCATCTGACCCTAACACAAACAGGGATCTATTATGATATTATCATCTGCAAATCCCTCTCTATGGCATTTAAACTGCCGGCTCTTCTTTTAGGAACACTGTAACATGCCTTATTAACCCATCATGACCTTGTGCACAAATTACTCTGCTTCCAGATTTCATGATTAGGCAGATTGAATGGAGAAGTGTTGGGGGAGCCTAATATATGCTTGAGGAAATGTGGTGTTAATGTAGTAGTTTGACTATCTCCTTCCATCTCGTAGGGAGAGAATCCAATGTATAGTTATCGGGATCTTCTAAGGAGGGGGTCATTCCATTAAGCTCGATCCCCCAGGATCTCGATTCTGGGGGGATTCATTGATATTTGGGATCTTGATCCATGAAATTTTGGAAGTCAATCCCATGTTAATGGGATTCAGATCCCTATGCCAAAAATCATTGTTTCATGAGTAAGCAGAACTACGATTCCTCCAACTGAGAGTCGAGTATCCTCTGCTTTAGGAGCCAGCTTCACGGGCACATTTTTGGTTCATAGATAATGGAGTGTGGATCTCCAAATTTTTATGACCTTAAAACGTTTTGAATGCCATGATCGTCTACACATTTTACAGTTCACAACTTTACACACCTTTTGAATCATGAGTTGTCTAGTATCAAAAAAAGGCAACAAGAGAGGGAGAGCAGAGAAGTTGGAAGGAGATACAAAGTTAGTCACATTATGGTTCTGTTGAGGAATGAGGACGCGATCAATACGCTTAACTTCTTTGGGGCTAGTTCATTGGATTCTTTCCACCTCTCAAAGGACTTCTATTGCTTGAGTCTTGTTCAACCAAATCGTGCCACTCATTGGGAATTATATATGGAAATGTCTTTCCTTTTTTATTTTGTTGCAAATGAGCGCTTAGCTATCGCGTCATTTCTTTTTTTGGAAACAATCAATGGAAGAATTATCAAATGTAATCATCAATCGATAATTGAGTGGGAGTCTTCCAATCCAACCGATTGGTGCCAAATGAAATCATACTCCACTGATATCTAAGGTCAAAGAGAATTTTAATTATAGGATTATTGTAAACATTCATACTTGGGTTTGTGAATTTGGAAAAATTTAAACATATTGCTTCGAATAGAAGTCACTCCCAAATTACAATAAGTGAATAAGAACCTTTCTCGTAATCACATTGGAACACAATCCCATTTAGTTAGGAATTCGTTCCTGTACAGATGTGGAACGCAATCCCCAAAAGTCCGGGATCTTGATCCTTTTACTGACTATGTACGGACCTCGTTCCCTTGATCACTGATCTTCGAACCTACCTTGTTCCATGTTCTCGCTCCCGATCCTGGTGCTCTTGTCGCTTTTGTTCCTGGTAACTATGATCCAATCAAGAGGCGAATGTTTTGGTGAGGGAAGGGGAAGCCAAACAGACTAGTGGTTACAAGTTTCAATGTATAACCTCAGATTCATAGTTCATAGGCTCAGGTTTGGGGATCTTAAGTTGTTTGTAGGACTCATTTTGTAGTGGATAATCACATTTTGATGCGGCTGGATTTTCTATTTCTTTTATTCTTTTTTTAATAAACTAAATTGGGTTTGAGGTTATTTTGTCTTTTAATTATTTTTAAAATTTATTTTAGGGTATTTATGTCCTTTTTTTTTGAAAGAATTGAGGGGTAGATTTGAAAGTTTGATCTTGATCCTAGGGTTTTATATTATGTAATTTATAGTGAACATATTGAGAGAGAAAAAGAAGAAGAATTGATTTTTCGTTTTGCGAAAAGATCTTTTTAGGATGGACTATTATAGACTCAGAGAGGGTATATTATCTCATCTTTTTTTTTTTTAGTTTCTCTCTTTTTCTTCCTACATGAAGTAATATTGGAGCTTCTGAAATCCATACATCACAATCGCCCCAAGGCCTACTATTGTGATTGAGGATATACTGTCACAAACAATGGAGGTTGTGAATCAACAAACCAAGTGCAGCTTCAATATCAAGCTTTTCCAACCTTAGGAGGGAAAATCTAAATTTGAGAAGATAAAGGCCTAGGATTTTATGGTTATTTGGGCTTCTTATGAGTCAAGTTAGGGTTTTAGGGTTTCTTCAGGGAAAACATGGAGATAGAGAATGAAATGTTTTTCTTAGGTTGTACTCCGTTGAAGACTTGGAGAGGGGTATATTCTTCCATCTTTATTTGTTTTTGGGTTTTTTATATTCTGTCTTCTGTTTGCTACATTAAATTTTGTAAAACATTGTATATTAGAATGAATGATAGCCAGTTGTTTATCAAACAAATAACTGCATTTGAAGTTGCCATTTAACTAAGAATTGTTTTATCAATAGAGAGTAGCACTATGTTTCTTTTTATATATGTTACAATGGAAGTTCCAAATTTTAATACTCATTTTCTATGGAGCAACAGGAAAGCTGCAAGAAGGCATCAATTATTTGTCTTGAATCAGAGGTGGAAGCTTTAGGCGGCTGTGCTGGGAACACTCCAGAGCAGCTCAGTGCTCAAATAAATAGACTAAACAAACGGCTTCAGCATGAGAGCCAACGGTCATCTTTTCCAGACAATCCTTTGCATCTGTATTTACTCTCACTTCTGGGATATCTTAAGATGATGTTGAATAAAACTTGTGTTTGCAGGCATCATGAGTCAATCGATGACCTCAGGAAAATGTTACAAAAGAAAGAGATGAAAATATTGAAAAAGCAGCAAACTTATGCAACTTTTCATGAAAAATTGGATGTAAGGCCATACACTTTTACGTCAAACACTTCTTCAATAAAAGAAATAACCCATTGAGTTTTACTTCTGCTTAAACCATCTGCTTTTAAGTTCAGAGCTATTGGCATATAGAAGTTGGTAATACGGCAATATTCCATTGTTTACAGTGGCAGTTTATTTTCCTTAATGGATTTTGTTATTATTCTGTTCATTTATAGGACTTATATTTTTTACTGGATTTTCAAGAATTGCTTCAAGTAGAGGCTGCATATAGAATTCATGTTATTACTTACAAGATATGTGCCAAAGATGTCATACATGTGAATGAATAAGAAATTAATGAAATTATGCTGCATCCACTGGTTGTGCAATCACTGGAATGTCCAGTCTACAAATTTTTACTTTATGAGAGCTATGTGGATGATGTATATTGTGGCCCATTGGGGTCATCGGTATCCATTGAAATGGATGGTGATGGAGAGGGAGCGGCACTGATTATTGTTAAGGTTCCCACTCTAATATCCATCACTGTCTGTCATTTCATTAGACAGCGATGACCCTGATGGACAGTGCTATTCATAATATTTTTCATATCAACTATGCTTCTCTTCCTTTTATACTTTCATAAAATTAATGGCGAATGCACAAGCAGTTCAAGCATTTTATGTATGGTCTGTTTGTTTGTATGATTCCAATCTTTTTTGGTCCTGTGATGCCAACGAAACCCCATGCTTTTATCTTCTTCCTCAGGTTTTATTATTTTTTTCCATTGGGACTTATAGTCCTAATTTTATTTGCTTTTCACTGTCATAGATGTAACTTCGTTTCTTTTACAGGCATGCCAGAAAGCACTAGAATTGCGTTGGAAAAAGTTTCAGCGAAATGCGACTCTCTTGAAACGTCAGCTGACATGGCAGTATGTGTTGTTTCGATTTAGCGAGAAAAGCATACTATATTCCAATGGACAGGTGGAAAACTGTGGTTTCTTGGGATAACTACTAATGAAATGGTCAATAATGATGGGAAATGGGACCCTCCCTTGGGTCACGTCCTGTTTTGCTGAATTCCCCTCACTCTTGCCCATTTTTTCATTGTCCAATTTGTCCATAGTCCACTGGATCATAGTCCAATTATTCTTGGTTTTCTCATTTTTTTTTTCGATTCTTATTGGTCTGTTTTTGTCTGGTTTTGATATATATGTGCTTTCTCTGTCAGATTCAATGGACATCTAAGGAGAAAGGGTATTAGTGGACAGATTAAAGTTGATTATGAGATGAAGACCCTGTCGGTGGAGGTGCTAAATATGAGTCATTTCTTCAAGATACCATGTTTAGTTATGCAGTTTCTGTGATTCGGCTTATCAATTTCTCTTGAATAGTGTTTCAATAATAATGCAGCCTCTTTTTGTTTAAGTTCGCGGTAGTTTATCATTGGCTTTGTAGTTTTACTTTTTGTTATATTTTGCATAGGTTAAGATGCCTCAAGATGCTTCGAGCATAACTGTACGTGACACAAGGGGGCTTTCAGGTCCTCTTCTCAATCTTAGATGATGAATTTGATTTCCCCATGGACGGTTTTTTTCCTGATTTCTGGAATTTCTTTAGAAGGATATGTAATTGTTTACAGTTGTGTTTTTTTATGCAAATATGTAATTTCATCAAATAATTGTGTAGTTTGGTGTTTCTCCTAAAAATTTTTTAATCTTTTTTTGTTTCCAAGTAGTAAAGCTAAAGCTAAAGCTAAAGAATACTTGGAATATACCGCATGTGCAGACTACTCTTGTGAATGAAACACAAATTTCTTAATAAAGAATACTCTTGATTGGAGGTTTCAATAAGAGATTTTAATGTTACACTACTTAATTACTTTGGTCGTTTGACCTAGCCAAGGTAGAAAACATCAAGCCTGATCATTTCTAGGAAAGTATGGAAAGGGCGGCAAAAACATATCTCTTTAGTGAATATTTGCATTTTAACGTAACAGCTGCCACGTTTGGTCCCGAGAATTCATAAAAGGCTATGTCTGCAATATGATTGCCACCTGTTAATGAGTTACCTAAGTATGCATGAACTTGATTTTTATTTCGGGCATATTGGTTATGATTACTTCCTAATTGATCCTGTGGTTTATAAATGTATCAGGAGGAGAGCGCTCTTTCTCTACTCTCTGCTTTGCATTGGCTCTTCATGAAATGACAGAGGCACCTTTCCGTGCCATGGACGAATTTGATGTTTTCATGGTGAGTCATTGATAGCTAGGCTTCACTTGTATATGTTAGTCTCTCTCTCTCTCTTGCTCTCTCGCTCTATATATATATATATATATACATATATATAGCTATATGGAAAATACTGTAAAACACCTATAGGTGAAGTTCTACAGTACTTCACCGACGGCTTTATCACAGTTCAAAGTTTATCACACGGTCACAGATGTCTGATAGCGTTTGAATTTTAATATTTTTTTTTACAAATCATAATGACTTGAAATTTTGTAGATGTGTGCGCCTTAGTGAGATGCACATGAATAAAATATAAAACAAATAATTTGAATAGATAAAAATTACAAAAAAATAACCCCTATAAAGTTTACAATAGGGTAATTTCATCATTTTATTTTATGTATATTATTTTTTAATACTTTATTTTGGTGC